CATTTCAAGTATTTGTAATAGTTATTTACCTGGGATCATAGGAAGTTTGACCTAGAGTAGAAGTATTTTGTCCTCCTCGGGTTTAAAAGCATGTGCTAAAATGGAAGGGAGAAAGTTATTAGTTGAATGGCAATTTCGTAAATATTGGTTAAAGACGGACTGTCAAACTAACGATCAACACGCACATGATGCATCCCTTAAAACTAGTATAGCACAGTGTTTACTTTATGCACCGCCCACTTTAACAATAATTATCTATGAATTTGGACCACAGAATGTATTTATGGTTTGAAATTATTATTCCTATAATAGTATTGACGCTCGGTTTTTTCCTTTTAAATAGATAACACATGTTTATACAAAGACATGGCAGCAAGAATGGACTAACCCACAAATTTAGAAAATATAAAATAATAAAAAATTTAATCTCACTAAAACACCCTAATTTGTTACGGGCCTTCAGTGGCAGGCTAAGCCACATGTGATATATTTCTCTTGGTACATTAAATCTGTGTCTTTCAGGATCTTACAATGTTAGCTGAAAGATTGTATTTAGCCCACTGTTGATCCAAGGCCTTCAAATATCGTTTATATTAGCTTAATGTTTCAGATGGTTAAAAGAGTATATTACATGTGAAGGATGGCTTAAAAATGTGCATAAGTTGTGATGGAAACGGTGGATTGGCTGCAATCTTTGAAAAGTACACAAATGATTTAAATTCCGGGCTAAAATGTTTGAATACATGTTCACGCTACGAATTGTGTAATGATAGACGTTTGTGAAGCACTGCTCTAGGTATACGCTTGTGCTAATTCCGGTCCTAACAGACATGCATAGTTGCAGAAGCTTTCGTACTTAGCACGTGACCAGCTGTCACAATGACGACGTGACGGACATGTCAGATACAAAGACCAAAGGTTATCGGTGGCTGATTAACGTTTTACGGTTCCTGGTCTGATGGTCTCAATTCTGGAAGATTCCATACTGCTGCAGGTATCATTAAGCTAAAACAATTATCCCTGTTCGCAACTTCACTTTCTTTCTACCAGAGCATCAACAAGTTATAAATAAATATATATTCATTGCGAGGTACAAAAGTCTCAGAGTTACTGCTACACGAAACTGCTTCGTCAGCAATGCGAACTCGTGCACAAATTATAGGTTAGAAAAATTCAAATGAAACAAGAAGATGCATTTTAACTAACAGCAACCACGTCACACAAATAAAAAGCAAAGATGGTAGCACTAGTTTCGTGACTTCAAATCTAAGAAAAGTTACACAACCGTTTAGCCACTTACATATTTTAATCTAATATCGTAATTTAACCGCCACGGTGGTCTAGCGGTCAGAACGCTAGCCTTGTAATCCTGGGGGCCTCGGGTTCGATTCCCGGCGGTGCCCGAATTTATAACTTGTGTTGAGCAAGGCCGTGGTCTAGGCAACACGGAGTTTTACTCCGTGGCATCCCAACAATTACTCCATTCACACACAGAAGAAGGCAATGGCAAACCACTTCTGGATGATCTGCCAAGAACGTATATGAACAGGTCTCAGTCGGAGAAAAGGATGGAAGGAATCTGTTCATATGGACCTGTCGTCAGACAGAACACTAAATGAATAATAATAACAATCATAATTTAATGACACAACGCTTCAACCCAAACCAACACACTGAGAATGTAAAGAGGAAAGAGGTGAAACGTAGAAGAGGCGAAGATAAAGCGCAGGTTGCGTTTCGATAAAGGTTGTAAAATTCTGGATAAGTTCCAGCTAACGCCGTCCTACAGAAAAACGGGACAGTAGCGCTGTCATGAAAGGAGAAGTATGCACGAAAAAAGAGAGAATATATTTCCTTCTATGATTCACATTTATACCGAAATTTTATCACCACTGGAACAGGCGAAAAGAAATGATGTCTTTTGACATTACATTCAGAATTTTATGGGGAGCTATAAAAATTCGCAGTATGGTTTCAACTTGTTAACCTCCTTATAAGTCTACAAGACACGCTGTCTTTTGAGTTCTAGCGCCGTATAATCATTTGGTTGTACTCGTTACCAACGAATGAGAAGAATACGTTGCTTCCATCTTCAAGACTGTATACAAACTTGAAAAGAATTAGAAAGAAATAACAGCAACTGTAAACACCGCAGAATATAAAAGGATTGATTCAAAGACAAAATTATTTTTAACTTTACTGAAACATATGTCAACACGCCTGGAATTTCACTGAAGACTACCATATAACATAATTCTAAGAAAATATATAAAATATACTAACGTTTTTACTATAACACAGTAAGGAGAACCAATTAGGATGTATTGATTCAGTTTACTTGCATATACTTTCAGCTCACACGAGTGACTAAACACTAAGTAGGGCGTTAGAAGTGCAGGACATTTTTAAAAATTCTTTTCTCGTTGCCATAACTCCAGCGCAACTGTGCACCTGAGATTGTTAAACACGGCTAAAGCGATCCTCAGGTGGCACCACCAGCCATCTTCATGAATAATGCAAAAATGTCAGACGTAACTAGACTTAACGGAGGAGGCATGTTCCAATATTCGGATACCGGTTTTTCGTCCATAACGTCACAAATAATTTTCGCGTCATGACTAAATATTAGTATACAGCATGTTTATGATTTGGTTCTGTCACTACGTGTACGTTCTGACGATTATGTGTTGGGTATATTTGCGATCCACATGCACATATCTCACGTTGAGGGGTTACCGATTCATTTCAAGTCATACGTAGTCCAAAACTTGATTTTCTAAACAGTCTGTATGTGACATACACTTCATATTCACACACTCGCATAGCCTACATATCGATATTAATCCAAACAGAACTTGCACATACACATATTTAAGACACACAACTCACATACTCATAATTGAACGTAATTTCACCGAATGTGCAATATATAAAACTATAAAACTTACACTGAAATATTATCATATTAATTGTTTATGTCATTAATTCATTCCAAGAAGACATTTATAACACAGTGTGAAATGTAAATTAAATTACCTACCAACAAATATTCGGATTTTTACGACAAATCTCTTGGTAAACAACCCCGTTGGCAGCTGAAAGTTAATAGTAAACAGATTTTTAAGAAATAAATGAATTGGACTGAACCAGATGACGAGAATCTGGTCGAAAGCAGACTACTATTTAGCGGAGGCTTCTATTGAGATTCTAATACCAGACAATTAGTTTTAGTGATGTAGTTTGAGTAATTTAATTGGCTAGTTCGTCGATTACTCTTCCAAGTAAGTCATTAATGCCTCAGTAAATAAACTATTCAATTATATTTGATTGTGCTGTGCTATTAATTAGGAACTGCCGCGTTTTATCCCTTCTATAAACACTGCTGAGTATGTAAAGAGAGAATGCAAATTTCTTGATAGAACTGTACTATGAGCTTCTTTGTCAGTAGGATGTTGGCAGAATCTTTGAAACTAATTATCTGGAATAATGCCAGAAGTTTTCATTGCAGAAATTTAAGAGTATTTTTGTCACTATTAATTAAACGTTGCCTACACAATAACGGTACAGTTCTGAATCACAATGTGAAGTAAACGCATGAACCACAACACACAAATTAATCTTTCAATGGCGCACAGGCATTTAAAACAATGAAAAGTCTACAACATCTGTCACAAAGCGTTATATGAATGTATAAGCTTATGTATAATCCAAGAATTTTATTGCATTCAGTGATTTATGTTCGGCCTTTCAATACCGGTAGATTTATGGGACCACTGATTACGAGCAGTAATCTGTTGACTTACAGAACACCAGCAACTTGTACCGCAAAGGCCAAAATTTCAGCATCATTTAGACCTAGTCAGTTATAACGCGCCCTGCAAACAAGCAATTAGCCTGGCCTAAACCTCGTCCCAACACGATAACAATCCTGCGAAACGGTCCTGAGCAAATAATTCACTGCTTATATAACATCATCCTGACAGGAAGGAAACAAAAAAAAAAGCCTGTATAATTCTTCATTTGTTTTTACTGAAGGCCTTCAACTGCAACTTTATTTGCTCATTAATCATTAAGTTTAATTATGAATCGTTATTTAATTAATTAATTACGAGATATAGCTCACAAGTCGATATGCTGTGTTCAGTTTCATTTCTACGTTCTATTTACCTAGACATATTAACTGTTTATACACGTTTATCATGGCCACGGACTGTGCAACCCCGGAAAAATAAAAGAGGCACGGAAAAGAGACGTCGCTAAAAGTGAGCCTTCGCAGGGAATGTCACCGATAAACATGAATTTCCTTCGAGTTACTTGAACCTGCCGCTGAAGTGTTCGGTGATTGCATGAGAACTGAATGTTGATACCAACCGCAGTTTTCAATTAGCTTCACGTAGCACAATCTTTCTTAAAGTGGTATGCTGATAGTCGCTCTGTAAGTTACGATATTTTTCGCTTTTTTAATCTCGAAGGTCCATTAATGTATTAACAGGAAACCGCCACTGGTCCCCACACCCAGATTAATCCAGTCCATATCCCAGTCTCAATTTCTATACGGTCCATTTAATATTATTCTCCCATCTACACCTAGGTCTTTCAATTTGTTGTTTTACTAAGTATATAGTTCACCGATGATAGGGAAAAAAGTATAAACCGTAAAATTCCGGGACACGAAAAATAAATCACTTTTTTTTTAATTTATACCCATAGAAATGTGGTTACCTACTTTACACACAAATTAAAATATGATGTGATAGTTTTGCTACATTACACTTAATGAGTGACATAGGTTGTAAACCAGCAATAACTTTTTGTTTGTATTTTTCTTTTACTTATTGTCATATACCCACCCTGGCATCAGCAAAGTAAGAAGTTTGAAGGTTT